GGCGCTACTTGTCCGAGACCACTTGTTGAACAACGGAACCAGACGAGTACACCGTCGGAGTAGTCTTCTTGGCCACCGCAATTTTGCTCCACACAAATCATTCAAGGCAAGGCCAGTCTACTTCAACACACAAGCTTGTAAGGCACTCATCTGCGATACTTCAAAATGCCCGGTAATGATTACAAGTCTCCTCTGCTATCTTTGCGGGGACTGCATCTTGCAACTTCGAGGGACCTCATGGCTGTCAGCCACAGCTTGCTTGGGCAAGTGCTCCTTGCAGGCGAAGTGGCCACACGTACTCACAATGCAGATGGCCCCAATTATTGAAAGAACTTCAAAACTTAACAGGCACCAGCAAAGCCACCCTAAACGTCCTGCAAAATCGGCGCGCCCACACTCCGCAGCATGGATTTCACAGCCACTGCCACCACTGTGTAGCTAAAAAGCGCTGAAGTCCACTTCCGCACTTGGGGATGCTCGAGGTTGTGGCTTTGCTATGGGGTGTGCCAATGTCTGGGCTAAAATCGTGTTCTCTACCTTCAGGATGAGAGGAGCAACACGTGGCGCGTGAAAATGTGGCTGCTGGGTCCTGGGCTGAGTTTGTGGCTGGGTCGAAGCGAGGTGATGCAACAATTGCAACATGGCGTGATGCAGAAGCTTCATGATGAACATTGCAGTCCCTACAGCCCTACAAGTCTCTGGACTGGGAGCCCACAAGCGAATCAAAAGCTGGATGTCAAACCAGAGGGGAGTCCACAGACCACCAGCTGCTCACAGGCCATGACAGTCGCCCAATCACTCGGAAAATTCTCTAGGTCCAGGCCCTGCACACAGTTGGAGCAACCTCTGTGGCAATGCCTGCAATGCGCGACAGAGCCTCCAAGAGTCTGCTGGCAAAGTTCCAAGCGACAAGCAATCATGGTAGCAGCCGCGCCTGTGTGAACGACCGGGACTGATAAGAGATCTCATATATCGCTGAATAACAGCTGTTGTTCAAAAACTGGCCCTTCCCTTTCACCTAGTACTGTACCGTTCAAATGAAGCCACACCTGTATCTGCAACGCTCTGTTTCGAAACCTGCGCTCATCCTTAGAGTCGCGGCATGTGTTTTTGCTCCCACTACTTCACATAGTTGGAACATGTCGGAACTCTGACCCTGCCGGTCATGCGCAGGTATTGCTGAACATGCGACACGGCGTAGTGTCGACGAATCCGCATTCATATACATGCATTGCTCATGTCAGCGTGGTTGCTTAAAGAGTTGCTGTTTCGTATTAGCTGGCCGCTGGCATTCCAATGAGGCTCTGCACCCTCCATCGCTGATGATGGCAACTTAGCTGACTGTATGAAATTAAACCTCATGAATTTGACGGCAGTGCCGGGGGCCTGGAGACAGTCATTGTACAACAGGATGAGGCTCCAGTTCTGCAGTCTGTTGAATGATCATAGTAAATGCTCCACGCTACGCCCCTGGCAAAGGCATCACACTACTTCATAGCTTGTGCTAAAGATGTGTTAACAACACGGATTCTTGCTGGGATCTTCTTTGGTAAGGAATCTTTTTGAAACTAAAGTCCTTGCTACGCATCCTGATGAAAAGGCCCCAAGAACACTCTGCTAGGAGTCTCCAACAACGATCCCTAACCACCGTTCATAAGCAGGATTCAAACTTTTGGAGAAAGCCTGATCAGTTCTTCCCATGCAGGATTCTCAGATCAGTACAGCAGCGTTTCTATGACAGACTGCATAGTGGTCCGCAGTAGGAGTTCTGCACTAGAAGCTCTTGCCACAAGCTTATGATGGAGATCCTCATAAGATATTCTTGGACAGGGCTGCTATGAAACAATAATGTCATGAATCCTTCATAGAAGTCCTGTTAACACAGCTTTCCGCAAGTATTGCTTTCCCCTAACTTGAATCGACAAATTTAGAGGCCTGAAATACTGGGAATGTTACAATGGGGAGACTACTTGTAAAAGGGTCTTATGAACCCAGCCTAGTGGATTGAGAGAAGGATTTTGCTGTACAAGCAATGTGGGCATTAACCTCGAGCCCTGTCTCATCATGTGAAGGGTCGATGCTCAAAAGATGCCCTTTGCCTCCGTAAGCGATGTAGGGCTTCTGCTGACGGATTGCTTTAGTACTGGGTGTGGATGCTTAGAGCTCATTTCATGTCTGCAGCGCGCCAACAATTAGCCCAGACATCACCCCAGCTGTACATCTATTGGCGGCGCAGCACAGTCCCCATGACAGGAGCAGTCAAACTCCACGCTGTCCATGAGGACATTCTCTGAAGTCTTGCTCCGCAGCGTCGTCCATGCCGACGCTTCGCAAGGCCATCCCACAATTTGGAAAACAGAAGCAAGCTGACAGAGCAGAGTCTTCCCAGCCACAAGCGCATGCTCGAAAACAACTCGCATGGAAACACCGTCAGGACCATCATCATCGTCATCACCACCACTATCCTCAAAGTTGGCCTGTGGTTGAGAAGCCGGGTAAGGATTGATGCATGAAAGGCAGTTGACCGCTTCGCGTCGCTGGGAGCATCTGTGGTGACAACTTGTCTAGCTTTCGGAGGAATAGAATTGCCGGTGATTTGCCTTGTTGCAATTGGGCTCAAGGTCCTTATTGGAACTTTGGTATCTCAACGTTCATGCAATCTGAATCAGAGTCGTACCAAATCAGGGCATAGCAGGGGCACCTCACGATGTTTGAAAGCTTCACATGATAAGAAATGAAAAGACGGTCAGCTAGTTCGCAGTTGCTGCAGCTGGCGCAGCTATGTTTAGTGCACCTGCGCATGCAATGTCAAAAGGATTTGAAGACGCTGGTCACCCAATGGCCGGCTGTCTTCTTTATGAGCTATCCGAAGATTTCATACGGCAGGGTCTCCAGGTTCGAGATCCAAGCCTTAGGCCACCATCGCAGGTTTCCCTCAAAGCTCAACACCGCGATGGGAGTCTGCTTCAAGAATCTCGGCATACTGTGTGGCCGTGTAGCCGTGTAGCCATAGTAACTCGTGCTTGAATTGCTGGCGTCCATGCTGAGGCCTGCGCCCCATCAAGGCGAAGTAGCCGAGGATGCGTTCACACTGACCAGCTTGACCTGCCCACGCGGGATCTCCGAAGAACTTCTCACACCAACGGAATGCTAGTTGGGCTTCCTTTTTTTGGCTGTCTTCGCTGGTTGCAAGTGCAGCAAAAATGGGGCCAGCGAACTATCAAGTGACATCATGGGGAATACAAGAAATTGTGGCTGGGCCCAACCTCGCTCTTGGTCGCAGCCTTCAGCTCAGGGCTTTTTCCATCACTGCTATAGCTTGCGCAACATGGTGCAAGTGCAGCGAACATACCTCTCGTGAACTTGAGCAAACGCAAAGTGTCGTCTATCTGGTACTGAAGCACGTGAGATCAAGAGAGCGCAACAGCGCAACACACTGAGCTCGGCACAGCCTCGCTTTTGGTCACGGTCACGGGCTCAGGGCTCTTCCAAAGCCTGGCGTCTCGTCAAATCTGTTGAACCCGCCACCCAAGCGCCACCAAGGCTTGGACAGCTGGCAAATGCATGGCACAGCCCCACATGGTCTTCCCATAATGCTGCCCATGCCACTCGTTGCAGAGGATTCCAGCGAGGACGAGGATCCCACCAGCCATGTCAGAAGCAGTGAAGATCTGAGTTTTCAGGCATGTGCAATATGGTCTGGTCTGTTGGGAAATTGGTTTCCTGTGTCGTGGTTGTGCTACAAGCATTGTTGAAGAAGGTGTTTCGTCATACTGTTCTTCTTGCTGCTGTTCCTGCTGCGGTCACTACCGTTGGACTTGCCACTGTGTGTTACTCCTGCTGCTGACACCGTCCTTGATGTTGTTGATGTTGTTGCTGCTGTTGTTGTTGTTGTTGCTGCTGAGTAGTAGCTGTAGCTGCAATTTTAGCTTTTGCTGCTGCTGTTGTTGTTGTTGTTGTTGCTGCTGCTGCTGAGTAGTAGCTGTAGCTGCAATTTTAGCTTTTGCTGCTGCTGCTGCTGCTGGTGCTGCTGGTGCTGGTGGTGCTGGTGCTGGTGCTGGTGGTGCTGCTGGTGCTGCCTGTGCTGGTGCTGTGCTGGTGCTGGGGTGGTGCTGGGGTGGTGCTGGGGTGGTGTGGGCTACAAGCATACAGA